TCCTCACCAGAACAAAAGGTACCATGGCCCATGTGCCCTGCTTTTTAGGATATATAATGCTAACCACTACAATAAATGAATGCAAAAATGTCAGTAATTTATATTCTGAGGATTTATCATTCAGAAATGGTCCTGGTCAGGTAGCCTTCCCCTTGCACCAAGCTGCTCCTAGTTATGGCTCTCTCCATCTCAAAGATCCTCTCCACACACCAAACTATTTCTGTAAAAGGCTAAATAATAAATATTTTAGCTTTGCAGGCCAGATGGTCTCTGTCACAACTACTCAACTCTATCGTTGTAGCACAAAAATTGCCATAAACAAATAAGTATGGCTGTGTTACAACAAAACTTTATTTACAAAAACAGCCAGCAAGCCAGATTTGGGCCCCAAGCCCACTTTGCCAATCCCGGTCCTGGGTGTGGAGGAAGAGTGACAATATGGAGGCTTGTGTAAGAGGACAATCTCCAAGTGGGATGTGGATGTGGTGTACACCTTGTCCACTAACTCTTTAACAAGCCAGTATTGTTCACATGTCTTCACCCAACTGCAGGGTCTAAGCTATGTCTCAGTTTAAAAGGAAACCAACAATTTTGGTTTGAAAACACGCATTATTTCTACTTTTCAGTAAAAAGAAGCCAGTGTTAATTTGTTTAAATTTATAAAATTATTTTTAGATTATTTATAATTCATTATTTGTTAAAATCATTTACAATTTGTTTAAAAAAAAGTTATGAACAAATTATTAAAAATGGTATAACAAACATCCACGCATATTTGTTTTCAGAAATGATATACTGCTGATTAAAAAAAAAAAAGCATTTCCTTACAAATTGTGGGATAAAGCGTACAACAATTAGTTGACAATTTATTTGATAAGTATTCATGAAAAATTAGTTGATACTGATGATTCCAAACCACCTGCGATTTATAATTAAAAAGCAAGAGTAGCAGCTATTTTAAAACACAAACTCAATGCCAGCAATAAACTGATAGAACATTTTCCTGAAAATTACGAGAACTCCAACTATACTTACATGTATGTGTAGAGCAGGAGTTTCACAGCATGTCAAATGTTAGACAGCATCCTGACTTCTTAGCAGAAAGCTGCTCTGACATTGATAGCGCACACAGTGCTGTGTACTCACTAAACCCAAAAAGCTTCCTTCTGGGTACACCGCTAAACCACTGTTCTTCACCAGCTGCAGTGAGGTTGGAACACGACTAAGCTCTGGCCAACAGGACACATGTAGAAGGAATGCATACCACGCCAGGCCTGGCACACAGAAATGGTCCCCCTATGATCTTCCCCACTCTTCCCCTGCTGCACTGATCTTGGAGGCCATGTGTTAAATGGTGGCATCAAAGCAAGGAAGAAGCCAGGTTCCTGAGAGACTGTGTAGAGCTGGATGAAAGCATGGAGCAAAGCACCTACCTCTTCCACACCCATCTCAGTGAACTGCTTTGCAACAAGAGTACACAATAAACCTGTACTGTAATAAGCCACTGAGATCTGGGGTTGTTTATTACAGCTGATAACCTACCCTAATATAGAGTTCTTAATAGATGAGAGAAATGTGCTGCTTAGATGATAAATATTATAATTTAGTAATCCTTTTAAAATTCACTTATATTTTCTAATAATGTTTAGTCATACATAAAAATGTATACGTTTGCTTCTATGCATTTGTTTTCAATCTATCAGAAAAATTTTCATAGCCCACACTGGGCTGGAGGGAGCAGGTGACTAATGGAATGAAAGTAACATTTTAGGAAATTGGTCTACACTACTGTGTTTAATATTCAACATTTCTAACCCCAACAAAGCATCATGCTAGGAGATTAAAGGCAAAAAGATGAATGAAATGCAAGCCCTGCCCTCAAATTGTTCCTGGTAGTGGGAGAGAAAAGTTACTTAGCTATTGGTAAACAAGGCCACGCCTATATAATATTTACATAAGAAAACACTGCAGTACAAGGAACAACTACCTCTTCCTTGAAGAGTAGGAAGGGCTTCAAAGAAGTGGCATATAAAGACTACAAATTAGTAACTTGGAAAGGAAAAGTGTTGCAAAGAGCTCTGTTCTTTGTTGAAGTAATCCAACATAAAGCCTAACTAATTTCTTCTATCACTTTTATGCAAAGGTAAAGGACCTATTCCAAGATCAAAAGCAAAATGTGGTATTTTTATGATTTTCAAGGTTATTTCTTCAGGTGGACTTTACTTACATTAAAAATTAAAAACTCTTAACTTCTGCAAAAGTGTTTCTTAGTACACTTATAAATATGGGGCCTACAAGACAATTCTCCAGTTTTAATCATACATCATTCACTCAGAGGATAATCATATGGTTCCTATGTACCGGCAAACACAGGTGAGTCAGCTCACTCACCAAGAACAAAATCCAGTTCCACAGCTGTATATTTTACTCTTACCTTTGTTCAAAATTCTCACAAATGCTGGCCACAGGATATCAGGAAATTCTGTAAATAGATCTATTTAGCACTCCTGGAAAAATACCGCATGTGTCTTAGCAATGTGAGCCTATAACTTCAAAAGGGCATTTGGTTTGGGTGTTGATAGGGGAAATTTTACACGTCCTAGACAACTGAGGGATGATATTAGAAAGATCAATGGGAATACACTGCTACCTTGACAATATCCTTCCAAATTCCACACAGGATAAAGCTGCTTGCCAAAAATGTGAATTGCACTCTCTTCCTAAATAGACCTAAGGGTCTATTTATATTCAATCCTTCTTTTTTATACTATTAATTAGAGCTACCCCTTTATTGCAATCAGTTTGTAACACAAAAACAATAAATTCCCAGGAATCTATAAATATATTTCATATCTGGCATCTTGTAAATTTGAATAAGAGAAAGTCTTAAAACTAAAAAACAAATGATGTTTTACACTGACAATCATTTTATACATATATCATAAAACAGCTCTAAATTGATAAAAAAAAAACAGCATTAATACCAAAATAATTCAAAACAAACCCTAAATCTGTCAAAATGTCATGCTCACTTTTAAAACCCATGGCAGTCCCTGTAAACAGCCCAAGTATATGGCAATTAAAGATTTGAGGATATTTATTTTTCCATATGCTGCCATAATTTATAAACATTATTTTCCTACTATTTCTCATTTTCTTGCTTTTCTTTGACTCTAAAATTATCTAAATTACCCAATCTCCAACTTATCTCAGACAGCTGTTTCCAACCATCTTCTGCAAAAAAAGTTTAGTAAAGGGGGAAAAAAAGTAAATATATTTCTACTTACCACTATAATTTAAGATTTAATGCCATACATAAAGTACACTATGTAAAATACCAAAGTAAAACATTTTAGAATAGCATATCACAACTATGAACTCTTCAATAAAATATTGATACCATATGATAAAAATGTATTTCTTCAGCGTATAGTCTATAAACAAAACTGAATGATACTTTCTAAAACAACAGCAAATAGCCATTTATTGGTAAAAGAAAACAAAAGAAATGCACATTTCTCTTTGAAAATTCTAAACACATGTTTTTTTAACATGTCATAGAAGATATAAAAGAGAGTGATGAAGAGCATAGCCTAAAAGGGTGATTGTTAATACTGTATTTTCTGTTTATAGTGGGACAAAACAAAGCACTGTTTTTGAATAAAATATGACATGACAATACGTAAAACAAAATAGCAGGCACTATTTATGGATTTTCTATTTGGGGCCTGGCTTTGTACTATGTACTTTATATATCATTTATCCTCACTGAATTCTAACAAATAGGTATTATTTTCCTTATTTCAAAGGCGGAAATGCTGAGGTTTATAGAGATCATGGCACTCCTAAGCCAGGATTCCCATTTAGGTCTGTATACTATGCATTATTGCCTTGAGGAAAAAATTCTGTTACATGGCCAACATTCTACCATGCTCTTCCATGATAATTATAATCAGCCCTAGAAGTCCTTGGGAGACTGGATCCAGCAACACTGAGGATACCAAAATCCCTAGATGCTCAATTCCCTTAAATAAAATGGTGTAGTATTTGCATATAACCTATGCATACCCTCCCATATACTTTAAATCATCTCTAGATTACATAAACTATCTAATATAATGTAAATGCTACATAAATAGTTGTTATAATGTATTGCTTAATATTTTTAATCTAGCGTTGGTTGAACTCTTAAATGTGGAACCCGGGATACAGAAGGTTGACAGTACTTAAAATTTCAATAAATTCATCTTATTCTTTCCTTGAAGTTTCCTTAAACAGCTACTTCATCAGTCACTTCTGCAAAATCCATAATCATATGTAAGTATCTAGTTCCAACTTCTACTAAGGAATAATAAAAGTACCATTATATGGTAACTAAGAACTTGAGTTTGAAATTCTAGTCTTTATCATGATAGGAATTATTTCGATGACTATAAGTCATCATACAAATTCCTTCGGTGTATTTATAGTAGCCATTGGGGTCACTGATTTCTAATAAACACTCATAAGTAAAAACTGCTTCTGAACAGCCATTTAATAAGGATAGTTAGCATCTACTATGAAAATCATTAATACTTAACTTAGGCCAGTATTTCTTAAAGAATAGCCCATGAGTTGAGTTGCTATTGGTCAACTAATCCTCTCCATGAACTAATCCCTAGAAAAGATCTAGAAACATATCACCTAAATTCCTGGCTTGAATTAACACCCATCGGTGATTCTGATGTCTCTCATCAAAAGCCATGTTGTTTTCTCCCTAAGTTTTGGTGAGTTTCTGGCTCTCATAAATGGAAGTAGACTAGCATAGGGAATAAGAATCTTTCATTCTTCTAAGATAAAAAGTTCAATTTCAAAGATGTATGCAACACTGCCTGGCTCTATAATTATTTATAAAAAAAAGAATATTTTTCAAGTAAAATAAAAGGAATTTAAAATAATCAAGTATTTATAAGAAGTACAAGATTTTCCCAATAGTACAACTTCCCCCATACTGAGCTTACCTTGAAGATGGCATTATATTTGAAGCCCTGAATTTTGCTGTAAACGGATTAGTTGACTCATAATCAAAATAGTCCTGACGATTTTCACTAAACGCATTAGGTGATTTCAAGTCACAAGGGCTATCTGATCCCCCATTGTTAAGTTTATCAGATCTTCTGCTATCTTTTTTTCCAGTCACTCTTTCAAACAGGCTAACTTTCTCCCTTTTTTCTCTTTTATTTTCTTTTTTTACTTCAATTGATTTTGAAAATAAATTCATGCCGCTGTCCCATGACTCACTGCTTTCTTCAAATGGATTTTTCTTCCTTGGCAGTGTTGCAAATTTTTGGGGTAATGAAGCAGTCACATTTGTAAATGGGTCATTTTGTCTTCCGAAAGACAATTCACCTTCATCCACAATGCTGCCAGGTTGGTTCATTTTAGAAGTATCAAAGCTTAATGTTCTTCTGTGTGGAGATTTGAGACTTCCTACAAACAATTTTGTAGTTAGTACATAATCAGTGACACATTACATCACACTACTTGACACATCCTGTATATATTCTGCGGCTTTTAGAATGAGAGCAATTAGCTATTTAGAGGTATTAACCTTCAAAATAATCAAGGAAAACAATCTTAAAATGCTAAGGTGTAGCAGTCTGAAGTATCTAGGCTAATAACAATTAGTGTATTGCTAGATAATTAGTAATTTATTCGACTCACAAACAATCATATAAACTATAATGTCAAAACTAGAGGTTCTGCTTGCATGATAATGCTAGAAATTCTCAAAGACTTCCCCCCCCCATCATTAGCACTAAATTTGCTTCTTCTAAACATAAAAGTTTTTTCCTAGGGACTTTATGATGAAATGGAATATTCACTTATGTGTCAGGCTTTTAAGACAGGAGTAACAGCAGGAAACAAAAAAAGCAGGCAGGCCATGAAAGAAGACTGAGAGGCCGGGTGTGGTGGCTCATGCTTATAATCCCAGCACTTTCGGAGGCTGAGACATGAGGACTGCTTGAGCTCAGGAGTTCAAGACCAGCTTGAGCAAGAGCAAGACTCTATCTGTAATAGAAAAATTAGCCAGGGAACCTGGTGCCTGGGGTTCCTTAGGAGGCAGAGGGAGGAAGACTGCTTGAGCACAGGAGTTTGAGGTTGCAGTGAGCTATGATGACACCACCGCTCTCTACCCAGGCGACAGAGTGAGATTCTGTCTCAAAAAAAAAAAAAAAAAAAAAAAAAAAAAGGAGACTGAGACTCATTTTATTATCATCTAATAACATAAATACAAATGTAGACTAGCACTGCCTTCAACGAATTTATCAATTTTGGGTATAGTAAGTACTCAACCAATATGTGATGAATGACTACATTTAGAAAATACTTCTAAGAAACTACAATTCGTATTTTCTAACATCAGAAGTTAAACTTTTTGACAGTGAAAAGTATAGTTCAGACAACTGAAGAAACAATTAGAAAGCATATGTGACTTACCACTTTCTGGAACTATTCCAAAGGACTCTATCTGGCGTCCAAGAAGATGTGTTTGACCTATGGCGCTAGACTTCAGTTTCTCAGAAGACATGTGGGACCCAGATAAATCGGACATTGAATGCGCTGATGAGAGTCGCTGAGGACCCATAAGAAAAGGCTTTTTTGGTTTGGATTTCATCTGCATGTCATTACTTGAAAATTCACTATTGGCATCAGGCATGTGAGTACTTGGAATGATGGCAGAAGATGTATCAGAAAATGTCCCATCATTTTTTCTACCTTTCATTTTATCTTTTAATTTTGCAAAAGGAGATCTTGTTTTGTCTTTCATTGATAAGTCAAACATACTTGCTGTCATGTTGTTCCTCATAAATTGAATATTGACCTTTATCTCACCCCTGTTTTTGGCTCTTTTTCCTTGTTTGGATTCTAATCTAAACCACCTTAAAGAGAAAGGAAAAAATGGGTTGTTACACGTAATGAAGAGAAGATATGAAAGCTTACACAATTAGCTTTTTAGGTAGAACAATCTAAGCACTCAATGAAAATATATCAGTCAGTGTTCTGAATTTACTCATAGTTTGATTTAAAAAAGCGATCATTATTTCTGTGATGTAACATATACTGAAAGAATAGGTCTTTAGCAAGTTTGAAAAGATTTTTAGATGACCTTTTCTTTCCTGATCTAAAAATCACTCATCATCAAAAATTCTTATAAATGTTATCTAATATGTTTCTATATGGAATAAGTATTGCTAATGGCCTAAGGACATTTGTTAACATTTAAAGACACAGAGACTTTGAAAAAATTCATCAGTACAAATTATTTTTGAACATTATAAAATGACAAATGCTGATGACATTTTAATAAAATAATAAATACTTAGCCCTTATCTCAAAATATTACTTGTATAAAAGTATTCAAAGAATTTTATTAATTTGGAGATTACACTACATATAGCTTGCTAATCATTAAAACTGGATATAATTTAGATGCATATAAAATTAATAAAGCCTTTTCCTGAATAAAATACGCAAAGTAAAATGCAAAAAGTGACAAATAATAAATCTTGTGAAAAGTTTTCGAAGGGAAAAAAAAGTCTAAATACTTTCTGTTAGAATGTTTGCTTCATTTACTACTATTGTGACAATACCAAATAAAAATTATCTTATAAATAGAGCTAAATCTTATACTTTCAGTTACCTCAATGTATTATACTGCCCATATTTAAATGATTTATAAGAAGAAAAGTTTATTTTGGTATCGTTTATAGTATTTTTATCCATGAGAAATTCTCCAGTAACTGTTGGTATCGCAAGTGGTCATTCTAGAGGGCAAACAGCCAAAAAACTGCAAAATCAAGCCTAGAAGAGAGTTTCTACAATGTGTTCACATTACTTAGCAATGAAGCATAATATCCATTCCTGCAGACAGGTTATTATTTAAATATACCACTAATCGAGTGTAACAAATTTTCTTAGCGACAAAGGAACTCTGATCTAATTTTACATTAGTTCTTTCTCTCATTGTTACCAACAGGATATGCTAGGAGAAGATTACATTTACTGTACATCACATAGAAGACTGGTTCATAAGTCTTCTCAGGAAGGACAGAGAACTGGCACATAATGTAAATACCGGCTACATCTTAGCAAGTAACATACAAGAGAAATAGTTTCTTGATTAACTAATTTGGAGCAATTTAATCAATGAAGATATAGTTTCATCAAAACTAGAAATTTTTTAGAATAGAATATTTTATAATAAAAAGCATTAACCTAAGACCCTAAACTGAGAAAATACATTATGTGAGGCAAATGGTAAAATCTGAAGAAACAGGGGCTGGAAATAGGAAATGACAGCAATAAACTCTGTGGAAGAAAGAACTCTGAATAAAACAAAACTGGGCACTCAAAAAGCCTAGAGATGAAACAAGGTTATATACCCAGTATTAACTCACAGTTTTTGAAAACAGAGCCATTTTCAACAGGAGGAGAAATACTTGTGATAGATGGTATCTCAGAAATACTCTGTAACATCTCAGACTACATAGAAAATAGGTGAATACACTTTGCAAAAAATGTACCAAAATACAAGCAAACAAAAACAAGCATGCAGGACTTTCATGTATTTAACAAACCAAAGTATTTTGGAAGAAAGTAAACCAATAACTCCAAAATTGGAAGGAGGTGAGGGTAGTCAAAATTCACAGAATTTTAGAAAGAATACCAAACAAATCATCTACTTTAATATCTTTATTTCATTGATGAGGAGACTGAGGCACAAAGAATGATATGTAACTTCTCAATGTCAGATTAAAGTCAATAAGGAAAAAAATCTAAAGCTGATGAATAACATCTGCAGGAAAAGAGAAGTTCTTTTTTATGTGATGAACTACGTAAGTTAATAAGGTTAACCCCATGGCTAGCACATATTTCAAGGACACTGTATTTAATCAGGAGACATGATAGCTGAAAAGGAAAGCAATGCAATTTTTTCTATTTCTAGAGTGTAAGCTCCTTGAAGGCAATTTGCCTTGCACTAATAAATATTTATTCTATTTTTATTTCTAGAACTGTATTCTTAAAACAACCAAGCTATAACACTGAGTGTGTGTTTTGTATTATTTTGTTTTTTAGTAGGAAACTCTAAAGACCTAGGTAAGTTTTAAAGAACAAAGTCAGTGTTCGAATACAAACTATAAATATAGTATTAGTTTCCATCCCCACACACAAAAAAACTGCAAAGAACTTTAATAAATATACTAATTGAAAAAGTTGGAATGACAAATAACTTGAGCTGCTTTGTTTTGAAACTGATATAATAGGGAAGTCTTAATAAGATCAAGAATCATTCCAGAGATAGCATTTGTTTTCCCAGGCTTCAAGAAGATAAAATGAAGACAAAGCATTTGGGGCTTACTGGATTAATGCTAATTTTTTTTTCACCTCTGGAGTGCTGTACTTAAACTGTATATGGCCTCTGTTCAATTTTTAGTGGGCACAGGTCCATGTTCAAAAACCACCACACATGTGGGAACTATTCCCAAGCAATTGGTGCTGTGTGGTCAGAAATGGGACAAGATTGGCAGTAGGGTGCCAGAGGCCAGAACGCAGGTGCACTGCACAGACACACATAAGCCCTAAAATCTGCATATGTTTGAGTCATATCTAACTCTAGAGACTCCGACTGTTATTACTTTTCATGAGCATTAAAAAAAAAAATCAACATTACCTACTTCTATTGTAAAAAAAATCAATGAATATTACATAACAGCATCAATGATTTTACCATTCTATCATTAAACACTGCATTATTTCCTTAAATCTCATGCCAGAACCAACCCAGACATCCATTAAAGACAGAGCTATAGAAGTTCTCTTTCCATGCCCACTCAAAGGGTTCTGGTTAAGGCCCTTTTTCCCCTTTCCTCAAAAGAAAAAAAGTATTTATTTTCAAAGTATAAAAATAAGTAAACAAATTTTAGCCTTCATACTTCGTTGCCTATCATGATACAACTAGAAGAACAGCTATAAATACACGTTTTCAGAGTCAAAAAGTAAAAAGTGTCACACCCAGCAGTTTCATGGGACTTCTCAATCAGCTGGTAGACTTCATCACTCAAACTAGTTTTCTAAAAAGCACTCGGGAGTATGCTGACAAGGTTTAGCAATGTGCAGAATATTAAATATCTTTCTTGCATTACACTGGTGACTCAAGTCTGTCCCTACTGTGCCACATGTACAGCTGTGCTAGAAAAGGAAGCTATTAAATATGTTTAAAAACTAGAAATATTACCAATAAAGATATCTCATCAAATATGTGGTCCCCATTTATCCATAAAGTAAAATGTTAAGGGTTTAATGACATATGAAAATCACTTTGAATGCAATAACATCACAAGCCCCCCTGATAACATTTAAAAGCATTTTTCCCTCAAAAGCTCCAATCTCTTTTCTATAGTAGCCAGTAGAGAATTTCTGTAGGGAGAGACTACGATATTAGAGTATTGCTCACGCCAAATGTATTCTAACTGCGATGCTGTCAGACACAAGGAATAAAACAAGAAACTTTAAAAGGTCATTTCATCCTCAGAATCTTTGAGTGGGCCTATTTTCACTTGGAAAATTTATGTTTCAGAGAAAGCCTAAATACGCTATTCATTAAAATTAAGAGTACTATAAATGCAGTAAGAAATTTGAAGTTACAATATACTTAAAAGTTTACATTCACAAAACACTTTAAATATTAAATGTTAAACGTCACCCAAAATTTTAAATTTGAAACAAATTACTTGGTATTTATCCATTTTTCATTTTAAATTTGATGAAGAACCTTTTGGGGGAAACTGAATGCATTTTTTAGGTATCAAATAATTTTGTTGTTAAAATCTTGGTATATATTCAACTTTTTTTAAAACTTTTTCTCTCCTTTTAAAATATTTTCATCTCTTAGATTAGTTTAAATATTTACCATTTTCCTCTTGCATTCCTAATATTTCTTATCTCTCTACCCTTTTATTCAACATATATTAAATCTTAGGTAAAGGCCTGATTTAAAACAAAACAAAACAAATGCCAATCAAGAGAAGCTTGCGGGCGGAAATGTACAGAAAAGAACAAGAGATAGTTGTATTAAAATATAAGAAATTAACGTGAACTTCATTATAAAAAAGTTTGTGAAAGAGTAAATAAATTCAATTATGACTGAAAGAAACACCAAAACTATTTTGGAAATTTGAAGTCCTCTCGTAAATTCAATCTGTACTTTTCTCCCATTAATTCCATTAATCTTAATGTTCTCTCAGACTAGAAAAATTTTAAAGTTTAAGGAAGGGGTGAGTATTCCTTTCTGAAAACATACTATTTTTTCAATTTAAGACACAATATCCTAGTTTTAATTTATATTTTGATTTTTCAATTAAAATATATTTAACTGAAGCTCAAAAGTCACACTAAAAAGACCATGTTTTCATTGAAGATGTCATTAAATCATTTCATCACAAAAATTTATCATTGTCTCCAAATCTTACAGCACCCAGGGGTGGGGAACCTGCAGTCTTAAGGCCATATGTGGCCTTCTAGGTCCTTAAATTCGGCCTTTTGACTAAATCCAAATTTTACCCAACAAATCCTTTTATCAAAATGGGTGCAGCAGAGAAAGATGAAGCTTTTCTTGCCTCCTTTGGTACTTAAAAAAGAACAATCTTGAAATCAGAAGGCCACAGGTTTCCCAAACACACTAGCTTTGCAGAACCAATTCTGAAGTAATACAAGAGCTCTGCTATATGGCAAATTCAAAGGAAAATGTTAGTGCGTTCAAGGCTGAGGATGGTGGTACATACTTTTCAAACTTTTTTTTTCTTTTAACAGTTTTAGACTCCATCAAATTGTACTGACCCTGGAAAATGGCTGGGCTAAAATAAAGGATGTGTATAACGCTGAAACGAAATGCTGAGTTCTAAAGCTGGTAGTTTATCTTATGACAGCCACAGAGTTCAAAATATAAACATTACATTGTCAGATTTAATTTTCTGATCTTCCATCTCATGGAAAGTATAAATGATCATAATTTATGTCTATTAAGTTCTAGTTGGTCAACACTGTGATCCAGTCCTCTTATAGTGAAACAATGTTAAATTCCTTAAAATCCGGTGCAAAGTATTCAATTATTTAACAGATGTTTACTTCGAACAAAAATGAGAATAACGGATGGTTAATGACTCCTTTTAAAAAAAATGTCTCATCACAAGGGCTATTTTTACTTCAGATTCATGCAAATATGGTGCTTCAAACTGGGTCATGTTTCAATCCAAAAAACCAATTCCCCAAGTACACAGTAATTTCCAAGAACAGAAAACTGATAAATAAGATATAGTTAAATTCCCACAAATTCAAAATAAATTATGTAACTTACTCTGTTTTCCTTCTTTGTTTGTCCTCAAAGATGTCATTGAGATTGATTGCCACCTGCCCTAAAAATTTATCCAGACCCACCAGGGACCTGTGCATAACTATAAGGAAAAGAATGTATTTCTCTGGATTCCCCTGCATTAGCAATCCAGGTAGCTCAAAAGAGGCCTCTTCCTTCCAGACTGGCTCAAGGGTTTTCTCAGCTACAGAGGTGGAGTACTTTTCCTTGCCCAGCTGAATTATAGTGTATGTGTCATTGGTGCCACTTTTGCCTTTTGGCTTCAGATCTTTGGCTTGCAGCACTGTGACCTGCACGTGGGTTGGAAACCACTTTTGGGCTTGCTCAGACAGCATCATTCTGTCCTTTTTCTCTGCAAGGAGTTCACAGGTGCAGGCAGTGCCCCTCCCGGAGGGAGAGCCTAATTCCTTAATCACTGCATCCTAAGGGCACTTAACGGAGACAAGGCAGGCTCAGGGCCGCCCAACTTCCCTAGGGCCGATGTCAAAACGCCTCACGGGGGCAGCCCGGGGGCACGGCTGCTCCGGGGGTCCCCTTTCCTCTGGAGAAACACAGGGGCCCACATCACCTGGCCGCGCCGTCCAGGCCTCCCGTGCCTCGCGTCTCCACCTCCCCGCTGCGCCGGCCCCGGCACGGTGCTTGGCGGAGGGCGGCTCCCGGGCCTGCGGGCGGGTGAGGCCTGGCCACCCGGCCCGGGCGGAGGGCTGCGAAGATGGGAGGGAGCCCCCCGCCCCAATTCTGCACCCCCGGCCTCCTGCCTGCCTCCCTGCGGCCAGGCCGCCTAGGTCTCCGTGCCGCCCGCCCGCCCCCCACCCGTCCGCCCCCCACCCGTCCGCGGTCCCGGCCCGGCTCCTCCTCCGGACCCCGGTAATACGAACCGCCCGCGGCTCGCTCGGCCTCGTTCCCTCTAGCAAACCTCTCCCTCCTCCTTTCCCTCCTCCTCCCCCTCGCCTCGGCTCCTCCTCTTGGGCGAGGGCGGGTCGTCCGGGCGTGGAGTGGGACGGGGGCGGGGTGGGACGGGGGCGGGGGCCGTGGCCGCCCCGGCGCCCGCAGGACGCGGAGCGGACCGCGGGCTGCAGGCGGCGGGCGGGGAGCTCGGCCTGGCCGGGCCAGCGGCTCCTAGTACCCGGCGGGCGGTTACGGCACTTCCGGGTTGGCCTTCTCCATGTTGATCTCGGGAACGCGACGAGGCGGGGCCTCGGGGTCAGGGGTCAGTGCCGCCCTGGTTGCCGTGGCGACGGGGGGCGCGCGGCGCGTGCGAGGCGGCCCCGGGGCTCCACGCCGGCTCCCTGGGGCTGCTTGGGCCTGGCCCACTCCTGGACCATGGGGACGTGGGGGTCTGCTGGGGCCGACGGAGGGGCGTTGGGGAGAGCTGGGGACTGCTCTTGAGAGGAGGTCGTAAAGGCCCCGGAGAGGGAGAGCTGCCCGAACTAGGGAGAGGCCCAGTTTCGAGAATTTGTCTTTGTTGGACCCTGGATGTCCTGTACCTTGCATGGAGGTGACTTTGGGTAAAATAATTTTATCTGCTAAATGGTGGTGGAGTGAACCAATCTGGTCCATTGACTGAAAGCACACTATTCCTCAACCCCTTATCCACTCTTCTCTTTTGTTGAAAAGAGACATCATTTGACAGAAAATGGCATCCCTCACCCAGACAGAGAGAGGGAAGCAGATAAAAGATTCCAAAACTAACACACAGGAATCAATAAAGAGCTCAGGAGGCGTGATTCCAGCCCCGCCTTTGCCACCACCAGTCTGTGGGACCTTGGTCAAGTCATTTTACCTCCCTGAGCCTTAGTTTTTTCGTGAGTAAAATTGGGATCTCCGTCGTGTCCAAGATTCCATCCTGACTCTACAGGCTCCAGGTCAAAAGATCCCTTTGCTCCTCCATTTCTCAATTACAAGAGACACATATATACCTCTATTGCCTTTACTTCTGTGTATGCCTTATCTTCCCAAAGAAATTCTAAGTCTTTGGACTACCTTGTGTCTCATGCAAGCCCTTCATAGTGCCTAGCATGCGGTAGACAATTTATTGAATGACTTAATGCCTTTTTTCCCTTTACAAGACTAATTTTGAGAGTAAAGCAACATGATAGATGTAAATGCACTTTTTAACTTAAAATGGCCATAAAAGTGTAAGGTATTATGTTTATTATTTTTAAGCAAGGTTTAAAACTTCTCCATTCAGGGCAGAATTTTCCATCCCTGGGAGACAAGGGTATGAAAAGGCCATGTGTGGAAAGCAGAACAAAATCATCATACTGCAAATATAGCATCTGGATCCCAGAGTGTGCAGTTGTCAACTTTAAAGAAAAATATTCTTAGGGATTTTTAAAGAGTACATTGGAACAGTCAATGGTGGAATTTCACCAGGATCTCCAGGGAGAAATAATTTGACACCTGAAACTTACAAAAACAAAAAATAAGCATCATGAAACCAAATTTAATTAAGTCTAGAATTTTTATAAATTGCATTTTTAGAAGTCTTCATGTCTCTATTAAAGGTTGTAATTAAATAAGTAAGAGGCAATTAATTATATTAGTGGATGTGTGTTTCTAAAGAGCTTAAATTGTTTGGTAAGCTTTATTAATGATTATAAACTTGTTTACAAGTATCATTTCACTCATCTCTGAAATATAGCCATCTCTAGGGTGGAAATTGGCAGCAGTAGTTCACAGCAACGCAATAACATACTCCAACACAATTCAGTGAATACTCTAAAGGCAAGAGCTGAACAACTGTAATTACTAATCTCTTCCTGTAGCACCTAAAATTTTTTGAGTTTTCCCAAAACCTGGCTAAAACCAAAATTGTTTAGTTTTACTACCTGGTAGGATCAGATGTTATGACTACATTTTTAAGCCAGAATTAGAAAACACATTTTTGCCCCTTAGGGAAGCAAATAAACAAACCAAACAACCAAATGAGCTAAACAGAATCTGGAATTGCATTATAAAAAGGAAGCGATCTTCTATAGAGTGTTTCTCTTTTTTGATTATTTTTAAGAGAATAAAAACATGACAGCTGAGTCAAATTTATGTATGGTTGGCTCATAGTGAAAAACAATGGCAATTATATAAGATTTAGGTGGATCAAAGTGGTTCTGTCAAAATGTTTATTGTCTTGCAGTTTTAAAATTTCTTTTTACTAAGTTTAATATATATACATGGACAGTAATTTAAAAAGAAATGATGGATTGCGTGCATAAGGACAACATACCAGAATTGAAGAGAGTCACTTTTTAAAACTATCCTGTGACTAATGATATATCTGGAAATGTTTGGTATAATTCCAAAAGCAAGGGGTTGGGAAAATAATGTATTTAATAGAAGGAAAATACTAAAAATCCTAATTTTAAATTGTTACAATCCCTGTGGCAATAAGTAAGAATTATTTGACCAGAAAGTTAAAATAGTCAATATTTATTCCCCAGGAGTGAAGGATTTCATGGATAAAAATATATGCTAAGTGCTGCATCTTTCCATAAAGTCCCTTAAGGGGAATTATTGCAGGCATTGTAGAAGATTTTCCCTTTGGACAACAGCATCACTAAAATCACGTCTTGCGAATCTGTTGTAGAACAATTATAATGCTATCAGTGTTTAAATAGCCCACTGGGTCAAGAGTGTTAATGCGCCCATCTACATTATGTAATGGATATTAATTATTTTCCAGCTGGAAATTCAGAAACATAAGGGCAGTGAGAAGCTTTCCCCAATTGTCATTACACTTTTCAGACTTCAAGTATACATGCACCTAAATATATATACAACTGAAATATATGTAAATCTAATATACATATGACAAAGCTCCAGGGGTATGTTAGAGATAGAAAAATAGATCAATCTGCACATAACCAGTCAAAAAGTAAAAGAGTATTTAGCAAATTGATTTGAACTTGTAATAGCAATGAACTAGTATTTGGGGTTTTTGGTGATTGTTTTGTTTTCATCACTGGGCTGATTAATTTGTCTTCTGGGACTGGGCAGTGCGTAGACACAGTTTGTGATGCAAGAGAAGCATCATGGTATGTAGTGTAAAGAGTTCTAGTCGGCAGCCAGGGCCCTAATCCCATGTCTGCTTTTTTATGACTAGCTACATCTTTGCAAGGAAGTAATTTTTCTTCTCTTGCCCTCTGTAAAATAAGAGTCTATTATGGCAGCCACCAAAACATCCTCTAACATTTAATAATTCTAAGTAGTATACCCACAACACAAAGAAGCAAATTGCATCATAATTATCTAATTGAATTTGGGTATTGTACTAAAGCAGATTTCCTTTTTATATAACTTATTAATAAAGAAGCCTCTAATTCAGGAGAAAAAAAATTCTTCAATAGGTCCTGAGAGCTCTCTTTCCCCCAAATGAAAGTAATTAATGATCACAGAAAGGAAGTAAATATGAGTTTTATTAATAGGCCCTGAATAAGAAAATTGACACCAACAGCTCAAGATTTGAAAGAAATTACATATAAGTGCAAGTGGTTTTGAAAAGCCTTAAACTTGTCACTTCCATAATAGTAATAAACATAACTTCTCTTAGTATTATTTGTAGCTTTTTTAAATTATGAAAACATGCTGAGGATGGTAAGATTTTATAGAGCAGAATACATATTTGCACATAAGAATGTTTTGTGCAACATCTTTTAATTTTCTTTTCATACTATCATACTCTTCTGTTGTACAATTTTTGTTCCCATAACAGAATCAATGCATATTAATGAGCAGAATGTGAATTGATTGACTTTAACTGTTATATGGTATTGGGTGAGATAAATAAACCCCATTTATTCTTTTCTCCTTCCAAAGGACATTTAAATTATTTCCGGTTTTTCAACTATTATAAACAATGCTACATGAACATCCATATAGGTCTCCTATGCACATGTGCAGAGATTTTTTAAAAATAATCATACCTGTTTTTGACAATTGACAATGAAATTATTGGGAGTTTCTGAGTGATAGTGTGGAAAATCCACAAGCCTGAGAATTAGAACACTTGAGTTCTAATCCTGGTCCTACTAGCTAAGGAGTTATAGTCATTAGTTTATCTGTGTCTCAGAAACATCTTCCAACTCCAGAATTCTCAAAGTCTTTTATTACATTTACTGAGAAGCAGAGATTATTTCTGTTGGAAGATTTTGTGACCACTTAGATATGTGTCTTCAAAATTTAATTGTCTCATTCTCATGAGTCTTTCTGAAATCTTCCAAAACATTGCTACCTGTATGGATTTAGGTGGAAGTTAACAAGGAATGGAGAATTTTGATTACTCCTGAAAGAAATGATTATTAGAGTTACATAAACTTACCATTCTTATACTTTGTAAACATCTGTTAATTTTTTAATCGTCATTTAAAATCTAGGACGGGATTTTTAAAAACAATAATGGATTTGAGTTATATTTCTGGAATATTCTGGGATATATAATATTTCCAGAATAATATGTCTGGTAATATGTTTATTTCAAGAGCATTAAACTGGCAGGCAGCTGGCAAGAACATTTGGTGGTGGTATTTTTCCCCCCTACATGAGCTCTTGTGTTCTCTCCCTTTCTACTTATTTGGTTTATGTTAAACAAAGTAAAGGACTTTTAAAGCATTTGTTACATTTGCTATATCTTGTTTTATTTTATGCAGTTGATATAAAGCCCAGGAGAGAAATGGCATTTTTGAGGGATAGATCCAACTCTCTTGTTCCAGGATTAGATTTTAAACCATTTCTCCTAAAACAATTTTCAACTAACCGGAACAATGTTTTAGTCCATCTGAATATCTGATAATAAAAGTATTTCTGGCTTAAAACTATGTGCTTATCTTTTACACATTCTGGGTTAGGTCACCTTCAGAGCACCTGTAGATTACAATATAGGAAGGACTTTGTGAATATGTATTATAATCATTTTCTAGTTATTGCAACAATCGTAGATGACCTACATAGCCAAAACTAAGCACAGGACTTAGTTTGGCAATGTAGACCTGAAAGAAATACCTTCTTTCAGGAAGTTATGTAGTAATGGGCCTAGAGAAGTTATCTGCCTCAATCAATTAATGTTGTATATGGCCTTGAGCAACTTGACATTTTCTTCCAGAAAATAGCAAAGTTTAAATTTCTTCAATCTCCAAACTCGATCTCAAATTATCCAGAGTAGCTTCCTCACAGACTCAAATCAATGACTAACTGTGTTTTTACTGTGGTTGTTCACCAAATTGTAATTTGTGCCTGTAAGTATGTTCTTGTAACCTGAGGTTTAAAGAAAAATTAAGGACAAAAAAAAAAAAAAACCCATTCCAAGTACGAAGTGCATTGCATGAAGTTCTAAGGTAAAGTATTGCCTAAATCACCTTTGTACTAATTAATTTTGAGGGGTTTTGTTTCCCTTACCTATCTACACTTGAACATTGGAAAGGAATAGAGCAAGATAACTTTGTAAAAATGAAGTCTTGTGCATTAAGCACCTCAGAAATAAGCACTTGTAACATTGTTTAAAACAAGATTTGCTCCAAAGTTCCTTAGATAGAGACATTTACTGAACTGCTGTTGAGTATTCATCTTATTATAGGTTTTGTCCCTTGGGCACTACCTACCAGCATGACCTTGGCAAAATTATGTAAACCCTCTAAATTCAGGTTTCCTCATCTGCAAAATGGGTTGTTGGGAAGATTAAATAAGGGAGTCAGGTAAAAGCAGAGAGAGGACCTGACCCCACAGGAAGTGCTCAAAAGATGCTTGTTGCTATTGGCTTGATGATGTGACATCCCTTCTCTTTCCAACTGCTTTCCTCCCATCTGAAGGCAAAGGCTGCAAAGCGGTTGCTCGGGGCTGTTTCTCACCAAATAATTAAGGCTACTGGGCTGCAGCAGGTTCCCCGCCAGCCTAGCATGTGACAGGCAGCAAATGGAGACCCCAAGTTATTTCAAGCCAAACCCAACATTATTGGACACTCTTTCTCTAAACAAAAATAAAAATGAAATAAGCCCTTAATAATATTTTGAACTTTCTTTTAAAATTCAATAATGACCTTGTAAGTATCATTTTAACAACTTTATAAGAATTAATCAGATGCTTGAATTGAAGAAAAATAACTCCCTAAATTATATACCTTGTAGCTCTGTAAGTAGCAGAATTATATACTTGATAATATTTTCAATATCCTAGATTTTCACTTTGGAGAGGATTATGATGAATTTAAGAATAAAGGTATGGCATCCTTGGGTAAACCTTGTAACAAACATCCTCTAAGCAGTGTCTTCTAACTCCCCTTTACAACTCTAAGTCTGTTATCTCTATTTTAATAATAATAATAACTAACATTTGCCAATTACTCACCTTATGCTACATTCATTAACATCGCAATCTCATTTAATTTGAAAGAGGTAAAGGTACAGCCAAGAGAAACGTTACCGATTCATTTTCTATCCCATTAGACAGAATGTGCTGAGGTCGTGGGGGCTCTTCAGGCATCGCTCACAACAGGATGCGGGCGGGACACTTGAAAAGCAGATCCTTCATATCCTTTGAGCAACTCTTGAACTTCAATTGGCTTGAAGCGTTATCAGAGCATCCTTGACTCGATGCCAGGGCCTAACACCGCTTTAGTGCAAGCACAGAGACAAGCAAAAGATAATTGATCTATTTGGCAACTCCTGATATATTCAGGTAAGCAGCAGCCTATATACTGTGGTGTTTGGCATCCATAAAACACAGAGAAATTAAAACGTATTAATTAACTCTATACCTGGAAAAAGAACCACGTGGGATGTCAATGAACTCTTTTGCTTTCACGACCAAAGGTCAAAATGTTAATAGTCTGTTCCTTGAGATCAAGGCTCACACACTAACAGCCCACGTCAGACATTCGCTGGAGGATAAAATGCAATAAATTATGTAAAAGCATTTTATAAACTATAAAGAATTTCAGAAATATGAAATTTTATTATGGTTCTAGGCTTGTATTAATATCTATGAAATGAATATACTTTTTCCTCAATGGTGGTTTAAAATGCTAAGAGTAGAACAAATTTAAAAGAAATAAAATTCTAGTTTACCATCATTCAAATTTATATCAAATCCAACTCAACATTATAAGGTAAGGAACATATGAAGGATAAATAAGAACTCGATAGCTAAGTAGATAAATATATGTGATGGGCCAAATTGAATGACTATTGCAGAAAAAAACAGAATATACTGTATTAAAACAGAGTAAATTTAAATTTATTGTAGCATGGCAAACCCAGTGCCTTCTTGGAATAACATGCCTTAACAAGCTCCTGTGGTTGTAAGGTTGATAATATCTTGATAATAACTTATGTGTTTCTCATTCCTAGTAATTGCCGGTCCCCTCGTGACCTTCCTCCTAGTTTCAGACAGCAGCTAGGAGAACCAGACATACTGCTCCAGAGAAGGGAGGCCAAGGCATACAAAAGAGTCATTTCTCAGCTTTTCTATTTCAAAGTAGACAATAGGGGAAGAGACAACAAAAAGCAAAGTTTATGCAATAAAGAAAGAATTTGGGAAAAGTGCAACTGATTAGCTAGATTAGACAAAGATTTCGCTGGACAGAGTGAAGAATAAGGAGACCGTACAAAAGATCAGGATGGTTGGGCAGGTGCAATGTCTCCAAGACCTTTCCAGTCTCCTTCCACCTTGCTGAGCATGGGGATTGGGCAAATCCATGATAGAGCATCCAGATAAATTCTAGCATCCAAAGTAGATGTCACTTGTATTTTCTTTTTCCCCAAGAAGGACCTTGAAAGTGGGAAAAGTCCGAGAGATCCCTAATCCCATGCTCCATGTTCACTTGGAGCAGCAATGATAGCAGTAGAATAGCAGGGCAGGGCGACTCTAGGCAGAGAAGGTCTGAGGCAAGCCCCTAGGCCTCCTGTCATCAGAGAATAGAAAGAAGGGAATCAAAATAGAGATTATGTTGAATAGTAAAGAAATAGAATTGTGTTTCTTGCCTACCACCTAGCCTATCATATGCCTGGACATACTATACCTGCTACATAGAATAATACATTGTAAGCAAAGAGGGGTGATGAGCAGAACCAATTCACTTGGACTGGGCTGTTGGTGGGCAGGTATGATGACCAACAGAAAAAACATATTAAAACACAGTCATTGAAGGTTTTTGGTGTGGCTCAAATTTCAGGGTCAAGCTTTACTTAGGAACCAAAATGCATCCTACTTCTCAGTTTATATGAAATATAGCACTCAAAATCACTAAATGTAAGCTTTTGTAACACAGATGTTATATGATAGGAACACATACCACTCCAAGTATTTCTTTCTATATTTTATTAATGTTTGTAGTTTTTTTTTTTCTTTCAATTGTTGGGCTAATAATGACTTAGAAAATTATAATTGCTAATATTCTCTAGAGTAGAAGCCTTTTCAAATCACCTTCCAGCATTAATATCTATTTAAATAAGAAAAACTGAGTTGCATTTGGAATTTCTGGATTCTTCTGTTTGTCATGCAAATAGTCAGTTCTGTTCTTTTTATGATAATATGAAATAAAGTAGTTTCTCATAGTAACATTGTAAATCATTTGCTTTCTATTACATGCAGCTGTTTTTGTTACTGTAATGATTTTCTATGAGTGCATATTGTAGAACACATAAGATGCAATGTGATATTCCTTTATTCAGAATTTATATGCAATTATTATTTGCCCAGAAAGAATGAGACACTTTGGAAATATAGTAATTTATTGTAATACGTTTCTTTTTAATATGTATCTACATTGAAGGAAAAAAATCTAAATTTCTAAAAATGACATGCCATCTCTTTTTGTTATATAGGCTAGTGTTTTCATCTCACTGAAAATTCAGAATCAAAATCAAAAACAGCTGAGGTAGTTACTTGGGTGCCTTCCTTCAGCTTATTCAAAAGAATATAGGATGAACGGTAAGAATTAAGTAAACCACAAATTATTTTGGAGTGTCTGGTTTGTATTATAAATAAATTTTTCACTGCTGGTTGTTTTTTCAAAAATATTGCCTGTATTTTTGATATTCATTCCTGTGATCTAATGTAAACTCCGTCCTACTAGTTTAATGTATTGTTATTTCATGATTATTTTTTATTACACTCATATGTTATAAATATTTCTCACTCTGCTCTTTTGGATCTTCCCCAAATGGCAATGATAGTCTTTAGGATATGTCATGGAAAATATCAAGAGAAATATCCCCCTTTTGTGTTGGCACATATTAATTTCACACCTTGAATACAGTCTAACCACGTCAACAATGAAGCATCTACTTTTAAGATACTGAATTAAGGATTATTTATTAAGAGGCAACAACAAAATAAGTCTGAATGGACGTGTCACTCTGTCATCAACATTTTTTTCCTTATTGGTCTTGCCTAGAAGTTATTAATAAAAAGACTTGATGGCAAATTTACATTAGTTGGTAGTTTAATGAAATCACAGCAGTTTTGTTTTTGGTTTTAAAATGTAAATGTCTGTAAGCCTTTTCTTATATACTTAAAAATATTACATTTACACAATATTCTCATATTTCCGTTCTTAACCATTACTACAAAGGTAGCAACCCCAACATGGGCATTGTGTGTAATAGGGAAGAAAGAAGATTACTTGTTACTAGGTCTATGTCACACATTTTAGTGGTGTCTTTAATCCTCACCACAATGTTCAGTTCTTATTCTCATTTTCTTAATAGTCCCTGTGAATCCACATAAAGGAGCACAGTGTTTATAAGAGGGGGAGGAATGGAGCAGCACTGCACCAAAAAGCAACTGACGGAGAACATGATCCTTTGTGAGTGGGATGCCAGGGATGGTGAGGCCCAGAGAAAGCCACACCACCAGCCACACAGAGGCCGCCATCTTGGTGGAGAAAAGGACATATGGAGCCATTGGAGCAGCCACATGACACAGAATCCCTCCACGCTGCAGGCTAGTAACTAGCTGCCCAGAAGATCCTTCCTCCTCCCAGAGGTGCTAGGTCTTCAAAGGGAGGAGGGTCATCTCAGTCTGAATGCCCCCACCCCTCCTGTCTCACTCCTAGTTAAAGAGAGGAGCAAACTGCCCATTCCAAGTCCCTTGAGCCACATATGCTCCCAGTGAGGTGAAGTTGGGCGAATGCTTTGAAGAGGATGTAAATGAACTTTGTATGCCAGAATAGATAGGTATTAAGACATGTTTTGATTCCAGTGTGCCCAGAATATTACAAAACCTGCTGAAGATATCGTTAAGGATGTGTAGACCATTAACTCTCTTAAATAAGTAATGATAATAATAACAAAACACAGAAAAAGTCATTGATCAATCCAAGAAAAGTTTATTAGATCTACTGCAATAAGGGAGAACACCATCTTGATAGAGTCTTAGTGATGCCTCAAAGCGGGGAAATCTGCATCGGTGAGTTGCAGGTGTGTACTGGGAGGCAGGGGCAGGAGTCCCTGGATAGGAATGAGCCATCTGTGACCTAATAGCTTTGATAGATATAAAGCAAGGCTGGGGGTGTGAGGCGAATCTTCTGAGCAGGTTGCTAGTCTTAATTTTTAAACTGTTTAGGTGACAGTCTTATCTTCTAGAACTGGTTTATGGTACTGTCCTCCAGAATGACTCTTTTCTGGATCAAGCAGCCAAGTTGCTTCACTTGGTCTCAGTATTGGTGAACATAGGGTGAGAAAATTGTTCCTGGTCTCAGAACTGTTCAACACAGAGACAAGCAATTGTAAGGGTTTTAGTTCTCAGATGAGACAGGGTGATTTCCCCCAAACAATACTAAAAGTAGCAATTGGGCGAAAATAAAACCATTTCATATTTATACCCCCACTTCATTGAGGCTTTGCAATAAATAAATTATGTTGCTATTTTCATTTGGAATTGGAAGCTCAAAAGGTTAAAATCTTGTCTAAGGGGGCTGGGCAAAGTGGCTCACACCTATAATCCTAGCACTTTGGGAGGCTGAGGTGGCAGGATTGCTTGAGGCCAGAAGTTCAAGACCAGCCTGAGCAAGAGCGAGACCCCATCTCTACAAAAAATAGGAAAAAAACATCTGGGGGTGGTGGCACATGCCTGTAGTGTCAGCTACTCAGGAGGCTAAGACAGGAGAATGGCTCGAGCCCAGGAGTTGGAGGTCGCAGTAAGCCATGATGACGCCATTGCACTCTAGCCAGGGCAACAGAGCAAGATCCTATCTCAAAACAAACAAACAGAAACTGTCCAAGATCACAAAACTAATGAGTGGAGAAGACAGGATTCAAAGCCAGGTCTGTGTAAGGATGATCTGGCTGAGATATTTGCTGATTACCTGGATTGGTACTGTGTGACTTTAAAATCTATTTCTCCCCCACTGTACCATACCACCTCCAAAGAAGGCACAGCCATTTTTCTCAGCAGTGCTTGGGTACAATTTCCTTTTTCCTTAAGGGTTTACAACAAGAATATGCCCTTGGCATGACACATGTTGGTACTTAATTACACACTATTTTTCATAGCTCTTTGTCTCTTCTCTTGGAAAACATCAAGAGAAGCCAGAAGTGCTTCTTAGGCTTTTGTATCTTCCAGCACTTACAGGGTGCTAAGCACATAGTTGGAGCTCAATGTTACATTGCATTGACTGAAATGTTTACCCCTCCTTGAGTAACAATATCTCCACTACAGAGTTTTAGCCACTATTTAAGGCACAGTTGCTCTGCCAAATATTTGTTGTGAAGAGTAAGCAAATATTTCCCAAAATGTTCAGGCAAGCACATTACCACTGCAAACAGATTTTTCATTGCAAAGCTTTTCTCTATGTTAAAATCTTTAAAAAATGATTCATGGTATCTCAACTGCATCAGAAATAAAGATTACAAAAACGTTTGTAAAACAAAGACCAACTGGCATTTCAGTTCCAAAACACTGGGTGAATTTTGTTCACTGCGTATTAATCAAAGATGGTTCTTTCAGCTCCCTGCCCTGTGGAACTGAGACAGCAACTCAGGAGATAGAGGAGTTTGTTCCTTGTGCATGTTTTTAAAAAACACACTCATCTCTCATATCGCTGCTTTCAGACTGCCCTTCTTTTATTCCTCTGGACTATCACAAAAGGTCACGTGCTGGATTTTTCACCTGGATTAAAATAATATTAGCAACTGGGGATTGTATACAATGTTATTTCCTGAGGGTCCCACGTCTGTCTACCACCATTTTGATTAACATGACTTGCATTCCCTAAGGTTTTGCATTGTTTAAAAATGGAGGAATTGAGTAGAAGGTAGCCAGTGGTCACTGAGTGCTCTCAGTTGTTTGTTTTGAAGATTAATGAAGCAGAGACAGAATCTACTGTCACGATTTTGGATATCATGGGCTCCCTGTGTTTCCTCTGAGAAGGAGGAGAGGCAGGTGGGGGTGGGTCTCAACCACTAATAATGGGCATATTTATCCTGCTAGAAACATCAATACAAATGGGGTGCATGCATTTTCAGACTCTAAGAAACCATTTGTTCTATGCTTTCAGTGAAGATCAACTAGTAGAGTGGAATGGAAGACTAGGTAATTATTTTAGGTACACATTCCTTGGTTTGAAATTACCTAGATAATGTATTTTGTGGTTGTCACTGAAACTAAAGCAATTCTTTGAATTATTTAGCTTTAATTATCCATTTTACTAAGCTAATGGACTCAATGTCAGACATCCAGGGAATTCAGAAAATATCCAGCCTTACATGAGGAAAATGTTCAAAGCTTTGAGGTTGTAACAGAGGTTATTCTATCTGGAGCGTGAAGCATCTCCCCTGCTTCTGAGAGGAGATTCTAACCCTCCTTCCTGCTACCTCTTACTTCTTCTCTCTTCTTTGGCCTTTCTTTTTTCCACCTACCCTCTACCTCCTACACAAACTTATTGTTTTGCTGTTTCCAGTTCAGAATGCCCTGAGCTGTGTAGACAAAACATTTTATTGTTTGATTAAAAAAAAAACAAAAAAAAAACCCTTTCATTTTTATCCAAGGTCACATTCAAGTCACTGCCTACAGTGTTATTATAGTTTCTTCCTTATATATTGACCTTCTTTGGAGTTTCTCTTTCTAAGCTATACCCTTTTGTTAAAAAATAAAATGATTTGTTTTAGGTGGGCTTTATATGAATAATAGCTTTTTATTGCAAAACTCCCCACAAGACCATGTGAATTTCATAAACTCCTTTTCAGGTGAGATGGCTGAGATTGTCTAAACACAGAAGCTCTGCAGAAAAAGTTTCCTCTTACTATTTGATGGCTACGAAAGAACGAACACCTTGATTCTGAAGAATGTCAGCTGTCCTTCAGCTTGTATCTCTGTTTGGTTTTCAGGGAGTTGGCTTCCAGCTTGATAACAAATCTCGCCCTTGCCTTGTGGTCTAGCCTTCTGGTACCGGGTCCTGTTTTTTGCCTTCTCAATCCCCACTCTCTCCTTGTGTCCTCTTGTTTTGACCTTGGTTTATTAACCCCATTAACTAGGGCTACACAAACCTCTGGCAGAGGCCAGCCACACTCCTCGGGCTGTCCCTCCTGCAACGGCTGCTGGAGCCCAGGCCCAGCTAACTGGGAACAGACACCCGCTCTTGGTTAGCATCTTCCCTCGGTGAGCCAGAGTTGAGTTCAAGTAGGTTAAAGCATTACATTTGTAAATTTGTAAAGGATCAAGTCGTGAAAAGAAGGGCCATCTTGTTCTTTGAGACTTTATTAGCCAGTAAATGCAATATGATACATTTATAGGAGTGAAGACCCGGGGTTTTCTGAACTTCATTGAGCCAGAAAGATGTGTTTTATTTCATAGAGTTTATGGAATGACTGCAACATAGGTAGGCTTTTACAAGGCACCACATCGACTTGAAGTAATCAAAAAGTAAAAATGGGCAAGGAGTACCTTGAGGTCTAAGTATAATTTATATACACATTTACCCAATCAAATGCAAGGGCCCAAAGCCATATGTTTTTAATTTTTGGTTTAATTTTTAAGCTCTTTAGTTTGCTGTTTTGATGTAAAAGAAGTATGATGAACTTAAAAAAAAAATGTTGCTTGCTTCTTTCTACAAAGATGGTGTTATAATAAAATGCACCAACTAAAGTGACAAACATATCAGCAAAAAGTGACATGACGTAGCATTCAAAAGTCCTTCACTTTGACAAAATAAAACGAAATTCTGTGGTGAACCCTTTTACAGCTTGTTATCATTTTGCTAAGAAAATAGAGCCAATGGAAACTTTCATATGGAGAAGCTAAACCTAGGCAAGAAAGGTTTTCCAGATGATACTAAAATCCTAAGCTGTATTTTGACACAGGTCCTCTATTTCTTGTTATGTCATGGATTTCGGAAAATAAACCTGAGAGGGAAAAGATAGAAATTTTAGGACTGGAATGAGAACTGGTATAAACTATCAAGGATAGGGAATATAAATGGCAGAGATAGAGAATTATTAGATAGATTGATGAGAAATAGAGAAGTTTTTGACTCATTTGTTTACATTTATCATTAGCCAGAAAATTAGTTGATTCGGTTAGTTATTTGCAAGGAAGAACATAAATAAATTGAGGTGGTTGGTTCTAAAAAATATTTATTCTTTTTTTTATTATTGAAGTGTTTTTTATATTTAGAATGGCAAACAAAAAGGTAGTGTTGGTTCATTTATTTCTATTCTCATGGTGCATTCTCAATGCCTGAGAATCAAACAAATCAAGTTACACAACACACTGCGTGACAGTCTCTCTGATTTCCTTCTGTTCCTACGTCCTGCCAAAAGTGGTCAGAATTGAACGCGCATCTCAGGCTTTTCCGTGGGTTCCACACACACATGGGTGTAAATATCTATACACATCTTGTTTACATAAATAAGATCATAATTTATCTGTTGTTCTGCAGATTTTTTCATGCATGCTGTGGAGCTCTTTTTAAGCAAGTACACATAAGTCAACTTCTTTTTGTTTTTAAGTTGGCTACATAGAATTTCATAGCATGGTTATATCACATTTCAGTTCTCTATTATAGCAAATTTTCGTTATTCCCGGCATTCCACTGTTATAAAAATGCTGCAATGAATATCCTTGTGTATTACTTTTTAAAAAGTGTGACTATTTTTCTAGGATAGTTTCCCAGAAATGGAATTGCTAAGTTAAATAGTAAGCCTTTTAAAAATGTTTAAAAGATTTTGCTAAATTGCCTTCCAAGAAGCTTATCTTTTCATTAAATGTTTAAGAATGCCCTTTTTCTCACATCTGTGAAAGCTCTTGATATTACAAATTTTTTTGTTTTATCTTTCCAATTGTGTGAGTGAACACATATTTCATGATTGTTTTGACATTTATTTACATAATTATATGGACAATTATGTATTTATCTCTTTTTTTGCTTTTTATGTTCTTTCTGAATCACCTATTCCATATTTTGTCTGTTTTTCTGTGGGTTTGTTTTTCTGTAGTGATTTGTTGAAGCATTTTATGTATTTTGATATTAACTCTTTCTCTGTTAAATACATTGCAAGCTATTGCCTTTTGTAGCCTTATTTCTGAATTCTGTTATAGACAAGGCTGTGGAAACAGCCCAAGTGCCCATCAATCCAAGAATGGATTAATAAAATGTAGTATATGTATACCATGGAGTACTATTCAGCTCTAAGAAACAATGGTGATATAGCACATCTTATATTTTCCTGGTTAGAGCTGGAACCCATATTACTAAATGAAGTATCCCAAGAATGGAAAAACAAGCACCAGATATATTCTCCAGCAAACTGGTATTAACTGAGTAGCACCTAAGTGGACACATAGGTACCACAGTAATAGGGTATTGGGGAGGGAGGGGCGGGTATATACATACATAACAAGTGATATGCGCACCATCTGAGGGATGGTCATGCTGGAGACTCAGACTTGTGGGGGGAGGGAGGGAAGGGCATTTATTGAAACCTTAAAATCTGTACCCCCATAATATGCCGAAATTAAAAAAAAAAAAACAGCTAGCTAATACATTCAGCTTTGTACTAATCATTATTTAAATAATTGTTGAAACATTAACTTCAACTTTATTTATTGCATTCTGAGTTTATAAAAGTACCTTTTAACGTTTTATCTCTACTTTAAATGTTTCCCTCCCTATTAAAACACTATCCCACATTATTCCTTTCACCTTTTAAATTATGTCTATTTTTTTCATCTTTACCCATTCAGAAAAAAATTATGTCTATTTTTGACATCTAAAAAGATTCCTCAAATATGAAAAGTTTGTTTTAGCACCTGTAGCAAACAGACCCTAAGGGGACCCCCAGTGAACCCTGCTTTCTGGCATCCACACCCATGTATAGTGCCCTGCCTTGCAGTGTGGGCAGGACCCGTAACTTGCCTCTAACCATTAGAATATGACAAAGGTGACGGGGTACCACTGCCATGATGACATCTCATTACATACAACTCCGTCTTGCTAGTTCTCACTCTCACGCTGCTCTTGAAGAAATAAGCTGCCATATTTCTTGAAGAAATAAGCTTCCATGTTTTGAGCTGCCTATGGAGAGGTCCATGTGGCAGGGGCTGTGGGCAGCCTCTACTACTGAGGGCCTCAGTCCTACGACCACAAGGGGGTGAATTTTGCCAACAACCTAAAGGAGCTTGGGAGCAGATTTTTCCTCAGTCAAATCTCCAGATGAGAATACAGCCCAGCCAAGACTATGGTTAGTTATAGCCTTGTTAGGCTCTTAACAGAGGTCCCAGATAAGCTATGCCCAGAAGCCTGAATCACAGACTTTTTAAGATAGTAAATACATGCTGTTTTTAGCTGCTAAGTTTGTAGTAGTTTGTTATGCAGCAATAGATAACTAACACAACACCCACATTTGAAAAATACCTAGACATCTTTGGGAAAAAGAAGTAGTAAAGACTAGAGAATTGAATCATTAGTTCTTTGGCACTATAAATAATCCTATTAAAAATGTGCTATAGAGTATGTTATAGAAAATGGTTATGTTTTTCTAGACCTTATAATGTAGTTTTAAGACCTTACTATAATCTTACTAACGTAATAGAGCAAATCATTAGAAATGGAGGAAAACTAATAGATCAAGCCTTAAAAATCCTGGAAATATATTGGATAAAATGTCTAGCACAATTAATGCTAGACATGCTTATTGTCTGATTAATGTCTGATTATTGGTATTTCACCTGATAGACACTAAGACAAATATAGCCACCACACTAGAACCTTCAAACTCACAACTCCTTGGATGTTTCATGAACAAAGAGCTAAGTGGTAATAAGAAATGAGAGGGAAAAAAGAAACCCTTCTGTTTCATGGAGAAATTTCTGAGTCTTCCATCACCAGCCTTTCTCTGCTTCTCCCCCTTTAGTTCTTGCAGGAGTAACCTCTATGATTGTCTTTCCTTCCACACCCTCTTTCCCTTTCTTCCTTCTCTTTCTCTTTTGTCTCATCATTTATATAATCCATGTATTGAGATACTGCTTTAAAAAATGTATTGGCTTTAAGAATTCAGTTTTTTTAAAAATCTAAAATCAAATAATACTTTGGTCAAGTTCAATATTTTTCAGATTAACATGGAAAAAAGTTTCATTGCTAAACTGCTCAAAGGCACAGAGATAAATGATTTAATCTCCTCTGTGCTGTGAAGATTCCACTGAGACATACATTCTGGTCCCTGGCTGTGCCCCTTTATACTTGCTTGAGTACAATGCATGTGTATTTGGAGTGTAACAGTCTTCCCTTGCCCCAGCCTTAACTCTTGTCAGCCTGTATGTCAGGCTCCTTTTCTATAGAAAGGTCTAGCCAATGATTTTCATGCCACTTGACATCTCAGTCCTTACCTTTTCCAGCTTTGCCTGTATTTGTAGGTGTCAGAATAAATTTCCAGCTCATTTTCCAAATTTCACATGGCACTTTACACTTCCTACTTTGTGTTATTATTTCTGCACTGTCTTATCTTCCATTTTTAGAAGGCAGAATCCCATAACGCCTGGGACTATGCTTTGCAAATAGGCCCAGGATAAATGACTAAGTGAATGAACAATTATTAGAATATTAAAAACACATTAAATGTGCTTTAGAGACATTTAAAGCAGTAGTTCTTAGATTTTGGATTTCTCTGATTGATGAAATTAGAAGGAGAAAAATGGGGAGAGTGACTTAGAATTGTGAGTTCTTCATTTTGCCAAGTAAGCTTAGACAGACAATTATTTAGTATCATCCTTATTTTATAAAAACAGAGCATACAAACAAAGTAAGGCTTATAAATAAAGTTTCACTTGCACAAACAAAAACTCAAAGGATCTAATGTCGGGATAAAAGATAGATCTTTTCTTAAAATGGATAGATCAACTTTAAAATGACCAGCGTGCTTTGTCATCCTTGCTTTTCTCATTTTGCAGCAGACAGCTGAAATCTTCATATTGTACTAACACAGTCTGTGTGTTTTAGAAATCACTGAGGTAGTCTAAACTTCCACTCAATGAAAGCATCCTCTTTAAACCACCTTGAATAAGATCTGCTTGTTGCACATCCAGCCTTTGGAAAGCTTCCTGACTGGTGCCTGTGGTTAGCAATAGGTGAGAAAGAAGATCAGGCGGACAGGTCGATATAGCCGCCATCACTACCTGATCCAGAACTGTCCATCTCCACAGAGGAACTCTCTGAAGTACCCATTTACATTGCACATTTTAAATAATTTATTGTATTAGAACAGAATGATGATAAACATATTCACTTAAACTCAGAAGGTATAATGGATAGAATTTTCTGAGAGTTGGGGGGGCACACTTTGAGCCACAGAGAGCTGGTATAACATTTGGAACTTCCAGCGATGACATTTACTGCTTGGCCCACCCTCAGACTTACCCAGAGCACTTACAGCCAATCTGTGATCATGGAAATGACTGGAAAGGAATTATGCCAATTCCAAAGGCAAAGTCAAGAGCACAGAGTTGTGCTGGAATCTCCTGCATACAACTTGTCTAGAAGTTATTCCAAGTTTTGTGGGACCTGAAACATTTGAGTAAATATTAATATTTATTTAGAAGAAGAGTCCAGCAAATGAAAGATCCTGAAGGTTAAGTTTTGTTAGTTCACAGTAAATCTGCCTCTGGACTAGTCTTAAACTAAAAATTCTTAACTAAATAGGTCCATTAATTTGTATGCCTCTTTAAAATTACACATACCCATCAGAGATACTTAACAAATTAAGTGGATACCTACAATTGCCATGTGGTGAATTAGTTTTGTCAGCTTCCTTGGATCATGTATCAGGTTGGAGGAAGAGTAAGAGGTCATTTTTGGGCACCAGATATTAAGTCCTTGTGCAGATCACAGGGGATCCTGGGGTACAAACACTACGGTCTTTCCAATGGGGACAGGAGAGAGAGGGACCAAAATACCAAAGTGGCAGGAAGGTTTGCTTATTTCACGGCTCTGAGTATAGCTGACTTGATTTTAAGGTGGCACATGGTGAAAATGCTGCATGTTGGCCACTTGCACACACTAGAAACATTTGTCTGATGTTTTTGTCTGAGGCATCTGACCAGTGAGCCTGTCTCT